CACTGTTCTGCACGGTTAACAAGTAGGACACAATAAATATAATATAAAACGGCATCACTGTCGAGTTTTGACATTTTGCCAATGTTCATTGGGCTTCACATGGGTTCGAAAAATTCAAAAGAAAAATCTCTATGTATTTTCCGCACCATGAATCTCGTAAAAACCAACAAATGTTAATCAACGTATTAACCTCAAAGATTCGGTTGCTTTAGCACAATAGTATACACAGCAAAACAAGTTGTTGAACATTACATCGAAACTGATGCAACCAGGTCAATCCATCGGTTGTGTAATATCACATTGTACAATGTACATCGATTTTGCGTACAAAATTACATCCATTGATGTAATATTGTATCTGCTTTTTGCTATTACATCATTATTTCATACATCAGCTTGAATTACTTTGATCGATATTACATTTTTTTTTGCTTTGTAGGATTAATAGGAACTGATCAATGCAATTTCATTCCATTCCTTCAGTCCGACAGCAAGCACATACTCATCATCCACGATCCGGCCATTTTGCAGATGGTTCGGCAAGTGAAACCTGGCTTGGGGGGATATTTGGTGGTTTTCATCGGCGGTGCATTGGCAATTGATTTTGATTGGTAGTATTTACATTATAAATGGTACTACAACTACATACGATCGTGTACTTGGTAAGATTGAACGTGTGTAATTTGGTGGTGGTCTTTGCCGCATTGATACGGATCTTCCAGCTGTTGAAGTATTCAGACAGGACGTCCAGGCCTCTCTGAAGTTTGGCAGTCAGAGCTCCGATGACCCTACCCTTGTAGACGATGGATGTGTCATCTGCAAACAGAGACAACGATCCACCATCAGGGAGAGCCGGCATATCGGAGGTGAACAGATTGAATAGGATGGGGCCAAGGATGCTTCCTTGTGGAACCCCGGCACCGATGTTGAAAGCATCCGATGTGATGCCATTCAGAGAGACTCGGAACGTCCTGCCTGATAAATAGTTGTTTATGATCTTCACTAGGAAGATTGGAAGACCGTACTGCTGCAATTTGAACACCAGGCCATCATGCCAGACATTGTCGAACGCTTTTTGAACGTCCAACAACGCCATGGCGGATGTTTTCGAAACAGACTTGTTCTGTCTGAGAATGTTTTTTACTCGAGTCAACTGGTGGACGGTCGAACGACCTTTCCGAAAACCTAACTGTTCGTCGATCAACAAGTTGTTTTCATCGACAGATGTTAGGGTGGTACACTGCTCTTTCGAACAGTTTTGATAACCCTGAGAGAAGGCTGATTGGTCGATAACTTGAAGGAGAGGACGGATCCTTCCCAGGTTTCCGGATGGGTATGACTTTAGCTGACTTCCAACACAAGGGGAAGTAGCCAAGTCTGAGGCACTGATTGAAAAGCAGTGCCAGATGGTTGTAGAATCTGGAACTCATGTGTTTGAGTTCCAGATTCAGGATGTTGTCGAAACCTGGGGCCTTCATGTTTTTAGATGATTTGATATAGGCCAACAGTTCGTCAGCCGTAATCTTGGATTCCTCAGGAAAAATTTTAGGAATCTGAAAAAGATTGGTTGCATTTTCAGCAACCTCAGATTCATGAGGGCTGACGATGTTTTGTCCGAGATTATGGGCGCTGACCTATCGCGGCAGCCTTCTCTTCAGGAGTTATCAGATGAACCACTGGTTCGCCGTAACGATCCAGTGGGGTCAGTGGTGGAATGGGCCTAGGCTTTTTTTTAAGATTTTTTACTTCAAAGTGAAGCATTTTAGTCACTTGAAGGTGTCACCTGGGACGAACAAAGATATAATTAATATATGTCAAAGCCAGAAGTACTTGAAACACGTTAAATTTAAGTTTAAAAGCATGGGTTATGATTGTGTAGGTAGATTAGAGATTTCAGTTATTTATTAAATAAACTTCAATTAGAGAATTCAGAAAGTTAATTAACATAAGAGATAGGACGCGAGGGTCCGCGTAGGGAGGCGACTAGCCTTTGAAGTTGTATAATAAATCTTCCTATTTAGTGTATTTGTTAATTACAGGCAATGTTAATAGCGAAAGTCATATCTTCAACCAGACGCTTACGAACAAGTAAAGTTTTAGGAAAGATGTGTTAAATATGTTGATAGGTTTGAAATAAGAATTAGGATTGTTGTGCTTTAGGTAAGGTATGATGTGTCAACAAAACCCTTTTGAGCAAATTTTCAGACATCAAAGTGATTGAGTGATTTATTGAAAGACATTGCGTTTCGAAAATTGACAAGTCATACATTTAACATAGTAGTAGTAGCAGTGTCGCATAATCTTATCACAATTGCTGCAAATAGTGCTGGAGGGGCCGGTAGGACTGAATACGGATCAAAACTAACATAACTACTAACACTAAAATGATCCCGGAACTAACACTTATCCATTGCACTAGTTATATATTAGTTTTATTTTCCTACTAAGTTATCTATGCTTCTTTCTAGTGTTTGGATCAAGTACAACTAATACTAATCTACCTTGATGTATGTTTTACTCCCTTTTAACCCATTATCTTTATGAATGGCGAATCATATGACGTGAGACACGGGGATTTCAATTGACTAAGGAGAAGGAAAAGAATAACTTCGAACAGGATATCAAACAAATTCAGGACCAATCCAAATGAGACCAGAAATCAACAAGGCATCGGGGCGTTATATACTCGGTGAGGTATTTGATAAATAATCAAAAAGTGGTAAGTTAAAATCATAGTGGAGCCAAGGATCATGAGAGGTAATTGTCTATAATTCATTAATTAGTAGAAATCTCGATAACTTTTCCAAGGGAGCGTATCGGCTTTTGTAGGCGGTGCGTTTGGTCGTCGATTTGGCGTAACTGGTGGCTGGCCCGCGCGTGCTGGCACTATCATCAGATAGGAGAAATTTTCCTCTACCTGCTGGTGGTGTTTGTAAGCGTGTGCGAGCTGCCGGTTGCGTCGGATCGACGATCGGATGCATTGTTTGCAGGAGCTGATGCTTCCCTTTGAAAAAGTAATCGAGAAACAACCATATTATCCTGTAATTGATATTACTATTTTTATATATCAATGAAATTAGTCATGACAGAGTAACAGAACGAGTTTAAAAACAAATGGGGAAGGACAATGGACACAAGTTGACACAATAAACAAGACAAGTGGGGGTTAATACACAAGACAAAATGACAAAATAAGTGACGACAGAAGACAAGACTGGGACAAAAATCAACCTTAAAAAAAAAGAATGCGCAATTATATTATAGACTGTTCCAGATAGTATAAGCACACTTTCAAAATAACAAAAAAATCATGTTTTTTTAAGTTTTAATAATTTTATTTGGCAAATCATATTTGTATTTGTATTTCAAATGATATTTTACTCTCGTTTAATCAACACATTTAATCATAGCCAAGACTCCTAACTTTTCCTCGAACATGACCCATTAGCTTCTGCACAGTGGTACTTCCCACCATTTTGACCACTTTTGGCCAATCTTTTTTTGAATTTTTGGATGTCGTCGGCTGGTTTTATTAATTTTCGAAACTTTGCTTTGGTTAAAGCCCAAAAAGTCTCGATTGGCCGTGCCTCCGGGCAGTTCGGCGGATTCATGTATTTCGGCACGAAACATACATTTTGACTTTTGTACCATTCTAAAGTGTACTTTGCGTAATGACATGACGCCAAATCAGGCCAAAATACTACTTGACCTTCGTGCTGCCTGATCATCGGCAGCAATCGCTTCTGGAGACATTCCTTAACGTATTTCTGAGTGTTCATCGTCTACGTTGTGATGTACGGACTAGATGTTTTACCACACTCGCATATTTCCTGCCAAACCATGACCTTCTTACCGAATTTTTCGGTAAAAATGGCCTTCTCCGTTTCGGGGATGTCCTTGCCTTCACTTACAGTATAAAATTGTGATCCGGGAAGCGTTTTGTAATCTAGTTACACGTACGTTTCGTCGTCCATTATTATACACCCAGAATTTCGACACAATAACGAATCGTAGAGTTTGCGGGCCCGTGGTTTCACGGACGCGGCCTGTTTTGGGTTCCTTTTGGGTTTTTTCTGCTTCCGGTATGTTTTCAGCCCAAGTCTTTCTTTGGCCCGCATGACGTTACTCGACGAGGTCCCTAGTTTTTTCGCAACGGAAGTCGCTGGTTTTCGTTTGTAGGCATCCCTGATCTTTTTATCGATATCCGGACTTACAGGACCGGATTTTCGGCCACCCTCTTCCTTGGCCAATTTTCTCAACGAGAGTCCTCTCACACTGCACCATTTGTGCACGATACTTTTTCGTTGTTCCGGAGTAAGACCACGCATTTTGACAGGAAACACAAAACTGAGCACTTTTTTTCGCCATGGTTCAGAATTTGTTTCTGAGCAATAAAAATTCTAGATTTAATTGAAAATAATTTCACTCTCATAAAGATCGAGTTTAACGACAAAAGTGATGCCCGTCTCACAGTCTCACATAACTGAAATTTACAAGAGTTTTCCGTAGTGTGTAGTTCAATTAGCCACCGCCACACCAAGCATTAGCAATTTTACTTTGATTTCGGATCTCGCAAAGTAAAAACAACAACCTCTTTATGAAACATAAAATTTTCTTCTTTTTATTCGTGTTTTTGGTCGGATACAATCGTGTCCAGGTTTTTACATTTTTGTAGTTTTTTTGCAAGGCTTTTTCTCACTTTTTATTCTTTTTTTAATACAATAATTTCTCCGTAATCCACTCGCAGAATAACGGATGGGTTTGTTTAATTTTTTTCATTCTGTATGAATCTTCGATGTGGCTGATCAAAAATAAAAAATATCATAAATTAAAGTGAATAAAAAAAAATCAATCGACGTACGGAAAATGAGACAAGTTTATCTGCCGTGTAAAACAAATGTAAATAATGATTTTGTAGGGATGTGAAATTGAGATTGATTTCAGTGAGATCAGTTAACACAATTCATTGCACTCAAATATTGGTAAAAGTTATGGAAGTGTTTCAATTTTCGGTACCGAATGGAATAGGCCGCCAATTTCGAGTTTAATAGAGGAACCAACCAACCACACGTCAACCAGCATCCATTTTGCCCAGAGTGGTTACGTTTTCTTTTTTGTGCTTTTTTCGTTTTTCTTCTTTTATTACAAATATATCTCTGTTTTTACCTTTGTTTACTTCTCCTATAAGTGTATCTTATCAGTTTCTCTTGTTTACTTCTGTTTCATTTGTTTTGTTTTTTCACCTTTTAAATATTATTTGTCACAGTAAAAAGTCTTTCTCCATTTCTTTATTTTAACTCAAAACTTTCGTTTTTTCTCTCTCTCTCTCTCTCTCTCTCTCTCTCTCTCTCTTCCTTTCTCTCTTTACTACCCATTTCGATTTGTTTTATTTTAGTTTCTATTTGTTTTGCTCACAGGAAGAATATGAATTTGTTCTTTTTTGTGTGTGTTGCATTTATATTCACGTACAATCAACGTCATTCGTCCCCGTTCTCCCTTTGTATAGAAATTCAATCCAGTTTTGCTTCCCTGTGTTAATACATTATAGGTGTCTGCGTGTCTGTGTGAGTGTGTTTGTGTTTCTGTACGTTTACATCTATTGGTTTACTTGTTTGTTCTCTATCAGTTAAGATATTTTTGTTTTCTTCCTTCCATTCAAAATCTCATCATTTGCATTAATTGTGTCTACACTCGTTTTGTTTGCATTTCTTTCGCTACTTTTACATTTGTCGCTGTGATTCTAGCATTTTGTTTTTCATTCATCATTTAAAAACACCACTAATTGGATTTATTTTATTTCGCTTCTTTTGCTGCATCAACCGTTTTTGAAAGATTCTCACTTTTGTTTCATCGAAAAAAGCTTCTGCCAAAGGAAAGCAAAACAAAATGTCGCCGTGCGGTTTATTCTTTAACTCTGTCTGTGGCCGGAAATGCTTGTATTTGTATTCTGTTCGTCACCCACTGTGTGCCTCTAGGGTAGAATAAAGAAGGGAAGAGCTAAAAAAAATATGAGAACTCCGTCGGAAAACCGATCGAAGCTCTCCACAACAACACAGATGATCGTAACGAGAGAGATCGATGAGAAAACAAAGAAATATACTGTCTAAGTTCTAGCGTGAGTGTTTCTTTTGTATGTATTTGTGAGCTCGAGGTAAGTAATAGTGTGTTTGTAATTTGCTTTCGCGTTACTTTCGTGTCGAAATTTATCTCATGTGTGTCTTCCACAAATACGAATCATTTGCATCTTTGCCTATATAACTTCAATACTACGGTCTTATCACTAGCAAAAAAATAATTAATAACTATCGATATAAAATAATATTAATTAATAGTCGTTATAATCAGGAAATAAAGACGCACAAAAATGGACTCTTAAAATAAAATGTAAAGCAGTAAAAAATAACATCACAAACAATTCTTTTGCTTCTCAGTTTAATGATAACTTATCATCGAAATAATGTAGGTTTGCTAACGCTCGATGAGTTCGATCTCTGTGTTTTTTAAGGGCGCAGTGTTTAAGGGTTCAACATTTCTTTTCTTGCTGTAGGTTCCAGAAGCGCTAAAGATGGTAAATGTGTTAAATTGAGCGTGATTTGAAGTTTGCTTGAGAATACAGAACAATAACGTTTTTCAGATCATCAACAAGCGTACGATTTTGAGAAAATTTTGAAAATGCCGCGGTAAAATAAAATTAAATAATTGAATAAACAGGGATGAATCTAACAGTTTTGGCAAAAACATAAGCGACAAGGTCGTCCATTAACACGAATTACATTGTTCTATGAAAATCGACTCATCTCACATGCAGCGACTTCGCTTAGACATTGTGCAGTTTTTCGCTACCATCTACAGTGTTTACACGTAAAACTTTCATCCTCCTACAATTTGTTACGTTTTTTTTTCATTTCCTAACATATTATCCTCACTATAAATCCAAATTCATCCAAATCCATTTCTCGCCACTTACTGTTCAGTTTATTGCTTCTGAGCGCTCGATCAGCACAATTTAAGCTGCGACACTTTTCACACAATGAAAGCACTTTGTTCTTCCTACACGTGACCGATTTTTTTTCCCAAACGCATTCAAAATGAGAAATGAAAGCTTCGAAATCAAACAGAAACACAGAGATTTTCCTAATTATTCCGATCTGCTGCTTCACACGAATTGGTCTTTCGATCCACCAGCTGCTTTAACCCGAACAAATCTTCGATTCCTATCGTTTTCGCCCTAATCTCCTTCGAGACGACAATTCTTACTCGCCTTTCTATTGTTGCATTGTCGTCTCCGTCGTCTTCCCGTAGCTACAATGTGTGAGTGTGTGTGTGTGTGTTTATGTGTATTTGTAAATATTGGTTTACCACACAATGATGATGCATCTTTCTGTTTCTACTAAATCTGCTTCTGCTGCTCCATCGTGTAGTTTATTTTTATTTTTTACAGTTGGTTTCGTTTTTTCAACAGTTTCACTTTTTCATCTTATAATGATTCATCTCTTTCATCCTCTGTTAGGTTGTATGTGTATAAAAAATAAGATCAAATAAGATCACGAGCATACCTCTATGTGTAGTAGAAACTGCATTCTTTCGCTTTCTCTCTCCACTTTAAACCTGTTGTTTGTAGTTGTGGTTGTTGTTTTTTTGTTGTTGTTGCTGTTGTATGCTTCTCTCTGTTCTGTTTTTAAATATGTATGCGTGTATGACCATCAACTCCAGTATATCATCTTCGATTACTGACGACGGCTGCTTCTGGGTTTCACACTATAGAAAATATTACACATCTCTCGAGCCTCAAGTTAAATTTTCGGTTTTCGTTCACTTCAAGCAGTGTCACTTTGTATACGGATGCAAGCCTCCTATTACACGGTGGCCGCCGCTACCAGTTCGGAAAATGCTTGCTCTAAACAGTGCTTCAGTTCAGCATAAGTCACCACTAATACTGATTGTTCGTCACGTGACATTAGCTGGACCTAGAAAGAAGAGAAAAAGGAATGATGTGATAAACAGAAGAATCTTCAAAAGTCCATACTTTTTTGGAAATAAAGAATCAAACTTTGTAATATTCACCCCTATTCTGTATTTCGTTTCGAACGAAATTCTCATACAAAAATTTTTTTTTTGTATGAGAATTTCGTTCGAAACGAAATACAGAATAGGAGTGATTGTCAAAGATATTTAGCTTATAGTACGTTCAGACTACAGAGTTATAACATGTTATAGCGCTATCTTGATGGTGGTTTCTGTGTTGCAATTAGTTGACAACCGTTATAACATGTTATAACTCTCCAGTCTGGACAGCGTTTTAGTCGTTATTCTGGATTTAAGTGCGAAATTACATTCATAATGCTTTCTTACGACAAACGAGCCAAATAATAATGGGTGATCAGTAATGACAAGCAGGTAAACATGTTTGAATGGAATGACAAAAAATCTCCATTGATTTACGTCCAGAGCTGAAAATTGTCACCGTCACTCTCTTTCGTAAATAACTCGGCTGCAGAAACGTTTCCCGTCGTCTTTGTCGTATTATCAGAGAATCCAAACACATAAAGCAACCAACGATAAAGACAAAACGGTTGCTACGACTACCATGACAAACTCGCTCTGTAACATAGCTCGATCGGAGTGGTAGAAGGATAATGATAATATTGCTGGTTGCATCTGAAACTGGACTGCCCCAAAAATGCAAAAAGTGTGATAAAAGTGCACGTTTCCTTCTAATCGTGTTGATGTCTTCGGAGCACTTATTGCTTGCATCATAAGGAATGAGTGCACCGAAGACACCAAGACGATTAGACGTAAGCTTGCAGTTTTATCACACTTTTTAATAAGTGAAAACGCGCTTATTAGTCCAATTTGGTGTGAAACTCGCAATATATTGCTTGCCTTTTTTGTTGCAGTATACACGGAGAACCAAAACTACCCAACGGTTGAGTTCTTTAAACTTACTTTTGAGTTGATGCCTCTCACTTGCTCTTTTGTTGTTGTCAAAAACGAAAAGAGCAAAATTGAGTTCTATTCGCCCAACTCGACGGTTCCGAGCGCAAAGTTAAAAGTGAGTAAGTTGTGTAAAACTCAATTTCAAGAAGTTTGAACTTGACGTTGAATGAAAACAACTTAAAAGTAAGTAATCCTGATTACGTGCGAGTGAATGACAACAACTCAAAATTTAGTAGGCGCTAGAGCTCTAAATTGAGTTTGCGCACGGAACTGCCAACCTGGGTGAAGAACTCAAAATTAGGTACTTTTATCTTTCTGTGTTGATCTGCATCGAGAAAAGACATAACACATTTTTTTCCCATTAACACACGTGTATCATCATCGGCTTTACTTTGTGAAGCAGCTTGACAACAATTTGTTCGTTTCCTTCTACCTCCCCGAGTGAGCTGTGTCGCACGGGCTGCTTGTCATGAAAAAAAATGAAGAAGATTATATCTTTATTGCATTCCACTTCTGATATAGCCTTATCATTCGGTTCGTTGATCGCTTGTCATTTTATCATTTGGAGATATTTTTGATTTTTTGCGTATTATATGCTAGATTGTTGCTTTTTCCATCGATTTGTGTGTCGAAAATGTCTGAAAATATCTTAGCTGGGCCGTGGCGATCCAAAGTGGAAAGTTAATGAAGAGAATCGATCAATACAGATACAACCTATTGAAAAGTGACGCGAGAATTTCCACCGTCACTGCATAAGTTTGAGCTATTGCAAATTCAGAGAAAGACTAGCATGTGGCGTCAAATATTATTAGGTTGGTCTACATATCTACGTCTACGTCTACTTAAGGCCTAACTCGGACTGCGCCATGTACTCCAATCTTGCATTTTGTGTTCAAGAATTTTGTGAGCTATAATCTGCCTAGACTATCATGGCAATTTGATGCCGACATGAATTCTTACATCAGACCAACGCTTCATCTGAACAAGAAATCGCTTTGACCCAGTCGATCCTTGCATGTGGATTACAGCAGGTTCAGGATGTACGTAACGTAAACGAGAGATTACGAACTTTTCGAATCGCCCTGTGGAATTTTAAAACTCGACGCTCATCACAAATCTTTTATCATCAAATTTGACTACCTTCGTAATACTGACGACGTTGGGCTGGACCGCTGTTATAACGATTTCAACTTCTGCAATGAACCCCTTATCAACGCCCGGATAGGCTCGATAGACTGGACGACGCTTTTGACTGATTGTGACGTTGACGATGCTGTTTTCCGGTTTTATGGTGCCATTTTCGATATCATCCACGAATATACTCCTATTCGACGACATTGCCTCCGTGTTCACTACAATCAACCATGGTGGACCACGGAACTTAGGAACCTCCGAAACAGGTTACGGAAAGCAAGGAAACGTCTTTTCAAACAACGGCGATTACTTCACGACATGGAGGAGCACTACACCAGTTTTCCATGAATATGTATTGCGCATTGAGTCGGAGGCAAAGCGGGATCCATCGTCTTTTTGGACCTACGGAAGAAACTTAGGCGGAATGGCGGTATACCACTCGATGTGTCCTATAAAGAAGCTCGTGCTGACTCCGCGGAAGAAGCTTCTGATCTCTTCGCAAAATTCTTCAAGGATGTTTTTTCGACTACCCCTCCCGCTAATTCTCCGGATGATCGTCGTGACTGGATGAGCAGCATAGCTCATTGCAACTTGCATTTGCCGCAGTTGGGTGTATCTGTTGAAGAGGTGATGAAAGTTCTTTCATCTGTAGATCCTTCTAAATTCCCTGGTCCAGACTGTTTGCCGCCATCGTTCATAAAGAAATTTTCTGCATCTCTCGCTTCACCTGTGTCGATTATCTTCAATCGTTCGCTAGCTAGTGGTGTTTTCCCCACAATGTGGAAGGTTGCGTACATCACACATATTCACAAAGCTGGAAACATCCACAACGTTGAAAATTATCGCGGAATTTCGATTCTAAGCTGCCTCCCAAAAGCTCTGGAGAAGATCGTATATCAAGCGGTTAGGCCAATAATTACCGAACATTCGTGAGGAAACGCTCTACAACAACCAACTTAATGGTGTTTGTCAACTCGCTGATCAACTCCATTGAAAAACGACGACAAGTTGATGCGATCTACGTGGACTTCAGTAAGGCGTTCGATAGGGTTCCATATGTGCTTGCAGTGGACAAAATGAGGTGTATGGGATTACCTAATTGGGTCACGAAGTGGCTACAGTCTTACTTAACTGACCGCTCAGCCTATGTGAGCATTAACGGTGTTAATTCGCCTAGTTTCGAGATACCCTCTGGTGTTCCCCAAGGTAGCCATTTGGGGCCTTTAATGTTCATCCTGTTCGTGAACGATCTGTGTAGTCGACTGTGTTCTTCGAAACTTATGTTCGCCGATGACTTAAAGATCTTTCGTACAATTAAGTCAAGACTTGACTGTTGCGCACTCCAGAAGGATATTGATTCCCTTTTGCGCTGGTGTACATTGAACGGTATGCAGGTTAATGTCACAAAATGCTGCGCAATATCTATTAGCCGTTAACGCGAGCCCTTACGCCATGACTATAGGATAGGACTCAGTAGTTTGCTCTTCGTTTCTTCAGTTAAGGATTTGGGTGTTATCATCGACTCTAAAGTCAGATTCAATGAGCACATCTCCATGATAACTGCTAAAGCATTCGCCACATTAGGTTTCTTGAAACGAAACACAAACGCATTCCAGGACATCTACGCGCTGAAATCACTATACTGTGCTCTCGTCCGCAGTCTTCTAGAGCATGCTGTTGTTGTGTGGGCACCCTTTCACGCTATTCAAGCTAACATAATCGAAGCCATTCAGCGAAACGTCGTAAGATACGCTTTACGTGTTCTGCCCTGGAACGATTCGGTAAATTTGCCGCCTTACGAAGAACGGTGCAGGCTGATTGACCTGGACACGTTGGCAGCAAGGAGGAAACTACTTCAGCGACTCTTCGTGTTTGGATTGCTTAACGGTGACGTGGATTGCAACTCTCTTGTGAGCCAAATCTACATCAATGCTCCTCAAAGAGTTCTACGTAGTTACACGCTTCTGTGGCAACCTTTGGACCAACTATGGATTCAACGAACCGTGGACTTTGTGTTGTTGTGTGTTTAATGAATCGTTTGATGTATATGATTTTAACATTAGTAAGTCTACTTACAGACATAGAATTCGACACCTAGCCTAGAAAATATCTGTACAACATTATGTTGAAGATTTAATTAAATAAATAAATAAAACATTTCAAAGGGGCATAATTACTTTTTTAAACATAGCTTTAGACGTTGATTTCTTGCGAATAAAAGCTCACCCCTCCAAACTAACAATGCTAGCAGATAGAAGAAACATTCATCTACCTGGTGGTGCCAGTAATTTTCATGAGTGAGTTTTTATTCGCGAGAAATCAACAACTAAAGTTACTGTTTACAAATTCAATTACGCCCCTTTGAAATGTTGGCACTGAAATATCATGTCACTACGGTTTTCGTATAGGACAATCATCCTGCTCATTTTATAATAATGGTTTCTTTCAACAAGTATAACCGTCTAGCTTAAAACCTACATTCATCGATTCTTAAGGGTTTCCCATAAAACAAACTGTGTGTGAGATATTCACGAGATTTCTTGTTGGATTGAAAGTCCTTTCAATACCATTATGTATGGAATATGCCATCATTCAAATGGCCGCCTCGGCTTTGCTTGGTGGCGTGCATCCGAGAGGAGGTCTAATTTTCCATGACCCTGGCGCACAAATCGGGCTGAATCTCGTTGCTGGCTTGAGTAATGTTGGCTTTGAGGGCATCGGTGGTTTGCGGCTTATTGACATAGACCTGCGACTTAACATAACCCCACAAGAAAGAGTCTAGCGGAGTTAAATCACACGATCTTGGTGACCAGTTGACATCGCCTCCGCGCGAAATAACTATGCCCGGAAATCGCTCAGGGCGCTGTGTGGCACGTTGCACCGTCCTGTTGGAACC